GATACAAGTATTCCATTTAGCAAGATTAGCTCAAATTTAAACTAGCAGTTCTTTCATGTTGCACAAGGTAACTATAAAATGAAGCTCCAGGTCCCATCCATGACAATTCTAACCAAGACCATAAGGTAATGCCTGCTCCACCAGAAAAATGACTGAGAACAGGTAATTAATATTCCTAAGTAAAGACAGCATACTACTTATGAGTTTACATTCTCGTCTTCACTTGATCTCCTTTACCAGAGTAAATATCTTATTTTCATATTTTATATGAACATTTACTTACCGCACGTTTTACCAGACCAGAAGAACTGAAAATAACTATTTTTGAAATAAGGCCTGTACAATCAGGAGTGAAACACAACTCTTGAAGAAAATCCTGTAGGAGAAAATGATATACACACAATAAAGACATTTAAATTCATACAAAGTCTATATTTCTACAGAGATTACAGTTTCTTAACTTGAGGTGAACAAAGTCATTAAACCTAGCACAGTTCTAAACTCTTCGTGGATGAGGAAAGCAAGTGTCAGCTGACCTGGCAAGGACTGCAAATCAGAAGGATCCTAGATCTGTGGCATATACCTGTTATTCCCAAAGCTATAGCAAAGCTCCTCCTCCTCCAAGTTCATGTTCAAGAATCAACTTTAAGGATATTCTTTTATGAGTTCATACTTTGCCTGGATTTCCCATCATTTTATACTGGCTGCTGATACTGTATTTCATAAAATTCTTTTAAACATACTCAGTGTCAAACTGTTACTTCAACAGCAAGACTACAGATGGAATAAAACGTCCATATGGAAGGATATAAATGATGCAGGGTAAACAGGCTAAGCATACTAAGCCTTCACACAAACAAGCCTTTCTTCTGTGGACAACAGCAAGCTTTACCCACACTTGCATGTTGGACAGTTTAGCAATAGACTCTTCTTTCCTGTCTCTCCTCCTGCCATTGTCATGAAGGTGGGACATCAGGCTGTAGCACTACACTTATCACAAACCAAAAGAATGCTATAATCTTGACTAAAGAAAGAAAAAAATGCTTATAGTCTGACACAGCTCTTACCTTATCATTTTTATCACTGTAGTTTGTTGTTTTCAGCTTTTTCCAACAGCTGGTATGAAATTCCACTCTACATTGCTGACAGCAAGTAATACGTATAAAACCCTAATATTGAGAAAAAGTATGAATTTAGCATACTAAAAAAAATAAAAAATAGTGCACAACTTAATAGCAGACAGGATAAGATGGTGTGTTCCAGATAGCTCTTTAACATGACAGGGGGCAGAAAACATGTAAACTTGAGGTTTTATTTCCCAAACCCTTTGAGACTAAAAATTTACCTTAAAGTCTGGGTCTGTAAAAAATATTTGGATTTTGGAGTGGCCATGACATTGCTGATATCGACAAATTCCATCTGGTTCTGGAGGGAACTTGCATTCCTCAATACAGTTCTTTAAAATCAACTGAGAAACACAAAATGATTTAAGACAAATTGCACAGGAACCAGCAAAAGATCCAATATCTACTTACAAACTTCTAGGGAACTCTGCAGTGAAACACACATCTCTTTTTGAACAGCAGACAACTAATACCAAAAAACCACCCCTCTTCTAGTGAAAGCTATGGAAGATTGTCCTTTTAAGGCAAAATACTCAAAAGCTCATTTGAACTGCTATCAGCTTCTGTAGAACTGCTGGTAGCTTCTGTAGAATTATTACTGGAGATGATTTAGACATTTTTTTATACCTACATCTTAAGAGAAGGTACAGCATGAAGGAAACTTTCAGGTAGAGTGCAGTTGGTATGCAAGGAATCCAATCCATGGTAGTTCCCTAGGTATAACCTGCAACCTTAATGTCACTGACTCCTCTTAAAACAGCACGGATGATGGAGTGGAGACACCACAGCCAGGCTCTGTACATAGCAGAGGGGAACTTGATGGTACTGTGGAACTGACAAGCTACATGGTAGCTTGCTACCCTGAGCCAACAGTTTCTCATCATTTTGCCAAAACTGTGTCCTCAGTGTAACTCTGCTCATTATAACACTAATGAGCACCTCCAAGGTGTGACCACCCCCTACTGAGCATGCATTCTGAATTTCCTCTGGTCTATACCTTTAAAAGCAAAGTGAGGAAATTTTACACCCATTATAATAAAGCTATGCATGACTAGAGTCACTCAAGCTCCATCTGAAAGTAAGAAGAAAGTACAAAAATGGCCTAAGAGAGAGGGGGGATGTTGGGAAAGAAACCATCGCAGACAAGTCGGGAAGATACCATCATGAACCATCGCCAACTTTGGGGACCAGCTGAGTGGCTGAGCCTCTCCTCCTCCCCCATGAGGAGGAAAGAGAGATTTATCACCAGCAATCCAAAAGAACCTCTATTCTGTTGCTTCAATAAACTGAGCCATTTTTTAATCCAGTTGTCATAGTCCTCATTGAACGCAACCAAGCGTGGTCGCGCTGGTTCATTTAGACGTGACTGGACTGGAGGTGCACTGCGCTATCAGTGTATCCAGCCATGAAGGCGACCAGGTGGCCCTGCCAGTGCATTCAAAGGCGACCGGACTGCAGTGCCGCACTATTAGTGCATCCAGAGCCGTGGGAGCTCAATACATTGAACATGACCAGACTGACAGTGCCAAATTGGGCATCACTCAGAATCTAGACCCAGTCACACTCAGCCCCTCTGATATTTGAGGACAAGCTGAAACACAAGGGGGTTTATTTTCTGCCAAATCTCTCTGCCCTTTAACGCAACAGCTTCCCTACATGCAGGTTTATCTTGGATCAGTGTTTAACATGCTGATGACCAATCTCAAATGCCTGAGAATATAGTTAGTTTTCCATTGCAGAAGTGATGAGCCAGATTACCCAGATAATGTGATGCAAACGGAGTGTCTGCTCATTTCTGTCACTTCCCAGCATTTCAGGAGTGCCTCACCAGAGATCTGAGTTACACAACCAAGTACATTCCCAGGGACAGCTCAGAACTGGCCCTGCACTGGAGCTAGCAAGATCTCCCAGAATAATGTCCGAGGTAAAGACATTACAATGGCTTTATATAAAGTCAGGTCAAGTCCCACAGGGCTGGCATTGAGCCCAGATTAATAAAGCACTATTAGAAACAAACAGACCACTGGTTACTGCCTTTCAGATAGATGCATTATGACCTCCACAAGTCCCAGAGCACTGATGCATTACTGTGGCCAGACTACTGTGGTGTCAGCTGGGGGTCTATGAGAAATCTTTAGGTCAGTTTTTGCTCAGGAAACAAAACCGTACTGCTGCTTCTACCAGAAATGAAACAGGTCAGTATAGTATAGGTAAGTTCATACACTGAATAACCTGGCATGTTCTACTGTGTCAAACTGCCTCTATGCCGAGGAGATCATGCCTCTTGCCTCTCATGGCATGGTTTATCAAGAAACTCTTCACAAATAAGTGACTCAATTATATTTTTAAAACAATAACAATAGCAATAATTTTTTTTAAAAAAAAGATGTTCAGTGTGAGAAAGCAATTTGTAGTGTCAGAACCACAAGTTATATTTTTCAAGTCAAACAGAGAATTTTACTATACAACTCCCACCGTATCAGCCCAGAACTATATGGTCAAACCCTCCCATTTAGTTTTAAATATAGCACCACTGCTGCAATTTTCAACTTCCCATTTTTGCTAATTCAAATTTTTAACCAGTTCTTTCTAGCATTACATTGTGTATAGCATTCATATCTACTTAGAAGTCTGGTAATATGAGACTGAGAAGTTAACACATTATGAAACACTTGGAGCAGATTAGAACCATATTATTACATAGAAATACCCAAGCATGGAACCTGACACAGAGCTGTCACCCTTGTGCTGTAAATGGGATGCTTCCCAGGTGTTCAAATTTGTCATTGGAAGAAGAGTTCTGCTCTACAAAGACCAGAACTTGCAGCTGACAATGGGGAGCAGGGAGGAGGATGACAACCTTATTTTTTTTTTTCCTTTGGAAAGGCCATTTAATAAGAACAGGTTTTTATGCCTTTTTTTTTTTTTTTTTTTTAACATACCTGTAAATTCTCTGTTCGTGTCTCTTCAATGACCCAAGATGTTGTGGGCCAAGTTAATACTCCAGGTACAATCTTGTGATTAACCATTGTTTGTGATTTCATGAATTGATTGAGTGCATCTGAAAATCTGAAATTTGAAACAGGTACATGTTCGGATCATATACAGATAACTTCTACACAGCCTATAATACTTTTACAATTCATTTTATGATCCAAGGGAAAAAAAGGTAACTGTAAGAGTACGTGGAATGAAAGAGCACCTGGTTCATTACCTGTTTAAGGATTCTTCAGTATAAAAGACTCAAGGTGTGAGCCAGTAATCCAGCCAAAAAACAGTGCTTTTTAGCTACTAAGAAGAAAGTTAACCCTATCCTAGCAAAAACCAGGACAGTGGGTAAGGGGCAGAGTCCAGGCATGGATATGAAGCAGACAGAGAGCCTGTGCTGATATTCAAGGCACTCATGAACATGGGTGTGCTTGTCAATACAGAGAATGAGGGCGTGTGTATGTTCACAAGTGACTTTCAACCCTGATCAGACAAGAAGGAGGCGCAGGACTCTGCTACCTATACTTATGTTTTACATGAGTTCCAGTAGGGCTACACATGGGAGCTGGTCTGCCTGGAGTAGTCTTGGTGGCCAGTTGTGTTGTCATGTGTGTGCGTGTACACACCTCTTTGGGACACGCATGCAGCCTTGCTACAGGTCAAAACTGATAAGGGAAACAAGTCACATCTGTGGCACTGGGACACAGACACCTCCTGGGTCTCAGACTGCACCTGGCTACGCTGCAGCAGTGGGAAGGAGGAATCTCCTTTCAGCATCCAATACTGTCTGCCCAGGTGCTTTTAGATACTGCACAAGGGGGATTTAATGCTTGATAAACTTATTTGATTTATTTGACATGGTAATTGGTTGTGTGGCAAGGTTCCATGGGGGAAGGGGGCGGGGGGGGGAAAGGGACCAGTGCTGCAGGGGCAGTCTCTGTGAAGAGAGGACAAGGCTGTCCCAGTTCCAGCTGGCTCCAACAAACCCACCACAGGGGACAGCTGAGCCCCTCAGGCAAGACAGTGGCACCTCAGGGAGAGCATGGATAAGAAAGGACAAGGTTAACTGAATGGCTGTGAGGAGTAAGGGGAAAAAAGCGTGAGAAACAGCCCTTCAAGCACCAAGGTAAGAAAGGGGAGGAGGTGCTCCAGGCATGGCGCAGAGATTTCCCTGCAGCCCCTGGACTGGATCCTACTGGAGCTTGTATCCACCACACTGCAGCCATGGAAGATCTCTGCCAGAGCAGAGAGATGTGCCCCAAAGGAACTGCAGCCCATGGAGAGGCCCCACGCTGCAGCAGAGAAGGAGTGTGTGAAGGAAGAAGCAGCAGAGAGGAGCTGTGACAGACTAACCACAACCCCCACTCCTCATCCCCCTGTGGTGCTCAGGGGAGGAGGAGGTAGAGAAGTCAGGAATGAGGGAGTGAAGTTGAGCCTGAGATAAAGGGAGAATAGCAGGAAGGTCATTTTAGTTTTCTTACTTTGTTTCCCCACTATGCAACTCTATTTTAACAGACGATAAATTATTTTTCCTCAAGTTGAGTCTGTTTTGCCTGTGACTTTAATTACAAGAGATCTCCCTGTCTTTAACTCAACCCCTGGACTTTTTCATCTTACTTTCTCCCACTGAGGAGGTGGAGTGGCAGCATAGCTGGGTTAAGGTCTGGCAGCCAGCCAAGGTCAACCCACCACAGGCACCCATTTCACAGGGAGAGGCTCCCACCACTGTCAAGAGACCTGACAGCAGGGAATGCTCCTGGCCTCTGTGGCGCCTGATCGAGGTCTATAGCTGAAACTGCCAACAAAGGTGAGCTCTCAGCATAGCCCTGCAAATGGGAGCTGCAACATCTGAATGTGGGCACATCTCTCTTCTTGACAGATCTGAAGGTAGCAGCGTCCTAAACACCCATGATGGTGGGAGGATTTTGATTAAGTAGAGCAATACAGTCACACAGTGAAATCACAACACAAGCATAACGCAGCAATTGCAATACACAGCTGAATCAATACAAATGTGATTCCCATTACCGGTCTCTATGTGCTTACCGTCAGACTACTGGGAAGAAATACTACCAGGAATGCATAACTTGAAGTCAGCTCAAGCCCTTTGCTCTCAAGCTTATTATTTGTCCAGTTTCTGCACTTTAGGTTTGACTGAGACACTACAGACTTCCCCCCTTCTCCCCATGCTGGTCTGGCTAGCTGAGGAAGGCATTACTCTTTATCTGTCTCAGGGAACCCAATGACTCAGTGGTGCAGCTGCCTTATCTAAAACCAAGGTTACCCTCCAGCCTCCCTTGTGTTGAGATAAGTTAAGCTTTCTTTTAGATACATTTTCCCCTGAGATCATCGGTTTCTGCCGTTCTTCTGTGAGCTCTCTGTCAGCCATATCCCCCTGCCCTGGAGTTCGCTCGCTTCAGCAGCTTCCATTACATCCTTAGCAGTAACAAACAGTCTGACGTACGAATTTAGTGATTAACAAAGAATAAATTTTAAAAACCCACACATGGTTTTCAAACAAAAATATTTTTTGTATCAAATATTATAGTTTTATACTATACCAACCTGTTTTGTCTGAGGTATACTTTTCCAATTCCATAGTATGCCAAACAACCAAATCTTTCTTCCTGGTATTGTTCAATTATTTTCTTAAACTGGTCTTCAGCCTTTGCCAATGCCTTCAAAATAAATTTAAGACAAAAATATGTGACACTTTGCCAGAAGGTTTTCACTTTTCCTCTCCCTTTTTCTCTCCAGTAGAGTGGGTCAGTATGCCCTGTTCTTTGATCACTCTTTTAGAACAGTAAAGGGCATTAAGCAACCTTCCGATCCCACACAAAGGCTTCAATTTTTTTTTTTTTTTTTTTTAAAGAACCTTATTCTGTAAACATGGCCTTCCTCTGAAATACTGCAATTAAATTATTAAGCTCACTGAGCTACAAACACTGAGCTAAAATTCACTGTAGGACACTGAATATTTTTAAATACTGCAGGAAAAAAACCCCAACAACCTCCAAAAAATCTCCAAACAAGCCACAATTCTGTTTCAGTGTTTTCCAGAACCAAAACTATTCTCTTTTTCTTGTTTTAGAAGTAGAATGTTTGTGTTAGAAAGACTAGTCCATAACCACATTACAACAAAGTAGAAGACAAATAATTGACTATACTTCATTAATACTTAAGAATCTCATTTGTAAATTTAAAAAGAAATTTTATTTCATAGCTTAATTTATCCAAAACCATTAAAGATCTAGTCCCAGATATTAAACTGCATGATTGCAAAATGTGACAAAAGCTTTCCTTCCCCATTCATTTTATGTCTGTTAAGAAGAGACAAAAACAGATGGCAAGCTACCTGAACTTGAATTTTGAATAAATGTATGATAGTGACTTATTGTCCTACCTCAGGCTGTCCTATTCCAAGAAGAGCAGTGGCATGTCCATAGATGAGTACAACATAATTAATAACACGAAGATTCAGTTGCTGCAAAGAGAGACAAATTATAGTAGTAACACACAAAAACACTTTGCTGGTAACTAGAACTTTACTGTCTACTGTGAATTGAAGATCTTCACTACAAAAGAGCTAGGAAACTCTTTTCTCATCTTTCTTGTCATAGCCTCTACCCAGATTTATGTTACAATTGGCATAAAAAGTGAAGGTTAACTACACCTTTACTGCTGGTTATTTGGCGCCACTGTATATTCCAAAGTGATACATCCGGAAATGCCTGCTTTTAGAAATGCTACAGCTATCATAGAATCATAGAATGGTTAGGGTTGGAAGGGACCTTAAAGATCATCTAGTTCCACCCCCCCTGCCATCAGCAAGGACACCTTCCACTAGACCAGGTTGCTCAAAGCCTCATCCAACCTGGCCTTGAACACTCCCAGGGAGGGGGCATCCACAGCTTCTCTGGGCAACCTGTGCCAGTGTCTGACCACCCTCACAGTGAAAAACTTCTTCCTAATATCTAATCTAAACCTACTCTCTTCCAGTTTAAAGCCATTTCCCCTTGTTCTGTCATTAACTGCCCTTATGAAAAGTCCCTCCCCAGCTTTCTTGTAGCCCCTTCAGGTACTGGAAGGCTGCTATAAGATCTCCCCGGAGCCTTCTCTTCTCCAGGCTGAACAGCCCCAACTCTCTCAGCCTGTATAGGCCTTACTACGTTGACTTCAGGCAGTGCACTGTGCCTTGGCTGTATTTCACATTCGGAATTGAGCAATCTTTTCTTTTCTTAAAATAAAAAAACCCCTTTCTCAACCTTCTTCTTCCTAATAAAATAGGTCACAGTTCCAGATGGATTGGTGCATTACTTGCTTGGACAGACCTGTCGGCACTGCAACAGCCCCTACTGAAATGGGAGCCTGAAACACAGCCATGCATGTGCACACACCTTGTCACATAAAACATAATACTACAGGACAATAATTTAAAGAAAACTAGGAAGACAAATGGGTCAATGGCTAACTGGCTAGATATCTATACACAAAATTTCACAGTATTTGCTATCAAAGATTTATCTGGCCTGAAGAATATAAATTATTTTTGCCTTACAATATTAGAAATAAAAGTTAAGCTGACAATGGACAGTAATTTCTTATCAAATAAGATATTTGATAAGAGTATCTTGTATTATTCTTACAAGAATATTATTTTGGTAAATATTTTTTACATTGCATCTAGAAATGCACGTTTACACAGGACATTACAAAAGTCCACCCTATGCTACTATCTCTTTTTCAATCCTGTTCTCATTTGTAAGCTCCTTGTCAGACTTATCAGTGAAACACTTGACACTGTATTTAACATCACGGGCAACAATTCAAGGTGGAAGGAAAGAATGAAACATGATATTGAAAGCAGGAACTTCAATTATGCTAAGAAAACTGTATCTCTCAGTTTACCTTTAATTCTGAAGGATTTAGAATGCTTAACAATTGCGAAAAGGCTTGTTCAGCACTGTGACATCGTTGGTCCATCAAGGCTGTATAACCGTCATGCACAAGAGATTTAACTTCCTCTGGCAACATAGTGAAATCTACCTAAAATATTTAGGAAAACAGTAAGTGCCAAAGAAGACTGCCTTTTCAGTCTTTTCCTTTTTTTAATAAAAGCAAGCAAGCTATGTGCTAAAATACTTATACAACAGATAACTGTTAAATTTCTGTACTTTTCGGTTTTATCACAATTTCACTTTTAAAGCAGCAAAGAAGGTACATTTTTATAAAACTTCTCAAGACTCAAGATTTTCATGGACCTACTGCTTCTAATCTCTTAAAAATTTAATTTTTGCTCTAACTTTAGATCCTATTCTCTCCAGAAAGCTTCAAGTTTAGTTCAAGCACCATTTTAATCCTTCTAACATATTAAAAAAAAAAAAAAAAAAAAAAAGGCTTATGCTTTTCCTCACTTGAACCCTCCATTTTGTGTACAAACATTTTTGAAAAACCTGAGAACTACTTCCTTCTGCCTACGCTTTCTCTCCATCTAGGTTAATAGTTAATACTAGAAGGTTACAGAATTATGTTATTAGCCTTTCACTACAAATACTTCCTGAAGCTTGCAGGAATTTCCAACAGTGAGACTGTAAAACAAGACAAGCAGTTGCAGAATTAGGAACTTCTATTCCCTTGATCTGTTGAAACACTAAAAATAAAATTAGCTTTGGGAAGCAGACCATTGTGCCAGGGTAGAAGTAATCTGACTATTTAAGAAGCTCCTCCAACAGTTACTCCTGCAATCACAATCAAAAAACAATGAAGGCCACCTGTGTATTTTAGGCCACTATATAAATTCAGTACAAATAAATCTTCACTATGAAGTAATCCTACTTTACAAGGTTCTTGTTAACTGCCCCTTTCCCCCCCCGACATATTAACATTTGAGTCTGGGATTCTGAAGACAGGGTCATGGGCAGTGAAAAACTGAAAGAACGGGAGAGTTTGTGAAGAATGGAACATAACTTTTGAACTGCTCAATTTTTTTAAGCTTTATTCTAATGGTGTACTTAATTGTATTCCTGTGAACTAAATTAGGCTTTTAACATATTAAATTTAATGCATGTCCAGAATATATTTTCCTAAGCATCTATGAATTTCAATCTTATTTTGCCTTCATCCTGTCAACTGACGAAAAAGGACAAACATAAGAAAATTCCCATGATCTAATGACAGTTATAAACAAAAGTGGCAGGGACAGTGGAAACTACAAATAGATAAAGAAAAGACCAAAATGCAGAGATGAGTTAATTAAAAAAAAAAAAAAGATTAAGACTTACTTTAATTTCCTAACACTATTGATACAAGGTAATGCTGTTAGAACATAAGCTATAGAACAGAACAAATTATATTAATTTAATGTTAAACTACATGAAATATGAAGCTGAGTAAGCCAACTAGAAATGTTACTTTTGAGACTAGTAACACATTAGTCTTACAAAAACAGGTATTTTAAAGGAAATAAGGTGCCTTAGTGTAGGTAGAACCTGCACCTTCTCCTGAATCCAGTTTTGTATTGTAAAGTAATTAATCAGAACAGAGATTTTTGGTATCTACTTCCCCAAATTAAAAGAGGAAATGATTCATTATGTACATCCCCATGATTACATTCAAGAACTTTGGGATACTCATCATTCATTGCCGATAAGACCAGAGAAGGAGAATTCTCAATTTATGAATTTTATAGTGTTTTAAACAGTCATTCAACACAGTGTTCTATGATTATTTCCAAATGTATATATCAAACACAGGAAAACACATTTAGTTGGAACTTTGGGAGAGGGGTATTACAAATCCACAAATTATTACCATCAATTTTTGTAGATTTTTCTTACTAATTAAGATACAATGAAGCTATATTACTAACTCGTGGTTTTAGACAAGTTATTCTATGACTATAACGAGTTTTGTTATACTAATTTCCAGTGTGACATCTTACAGGAAGAGAAGGAGGAAAAGCAAAAGGACAACTACCAGCAACCAGACAGTATAAGTCAGTGTAATTACATAACCTTTGTCTCATGATAAAAGTCAGCCTAAGCATGAAGTGATAAATTTTTGAATGAACTGAGATTTTGGACAGTGTTACTAAAAGGTGACAAATCATTTATGCTTCAAATCATACGCTAATGAATTCCCAATTACCGGTTGTACAGTACAGAAGAGTTTATCTTGGATGTCTTTAGACTCTATCTTCAAATCAAGGTGATCTCTACAAATAACAGGACAATGGCATAATGAGTTTGTATATGTACTTTATATGCAATCTTATTTTAAAGAAACAGAAATTTCTGCACTGTTATCAACCACATCACATTTGCATACATGCTAGAAATTATTATGGCATACTTTCACAATCGCAACAAGTACTATAACACTATCAAGGACTATGATACTATTCATACAGTTCATACACTTCTGGTTCAGGAATCACTAGGGCTTCAGGGAAGTAGCAGTCTTCTCCACCCTATTCTCAGCTGAGTTGATCTTACGAAGGAGTGAGATAGGTGACCAGAGAACCTCCCTACACCAAAGGCAGTAGTGTAAGAAGTTGCTTAGGTCTCCTTCCCCTTCTCTACCCTTCTTAAGCAGAAGATCCTTTATCCTAACATAACCTCCACTTAAAATCAGATACAAGTAACAGCTATGCATGGTGGGGCAGCGAGAGCAGAGAAGAGAGGAACAGAGTTGTTCTTCCCAGCTCTTCCTTTCCACTACTGCAGCAGAAACGCCATGCATGACTAGAGAACAGCGAAAGTATAATGAATAGACAAAGTATTGCTTAATACTCCAACCTAAATCCTCAATTCTAAGATTGCTACTCAATCCTTAATGCTAATATATTGCCTTTTGCTTATATACATTCAGTTCTGTCCCACACTCAAAGGCATTAAACACTCATCATCTGAGATAAATTATTTACAGTCTCAGAGGATCCCCTAGATTTTTGGAAGCCAAGCAACCTGCTAATTACAGAAATGGAGATAAGATTGTAACTGACCATGCATCTCACTTGTTGAAAAATACTGTGGTTTTTACAGGTCTAAAACTTCCCTGTGAGAAGCAGTTTTGCAGATGGTTCAGTTACTTTAAACAGGATTTGTTCCTACAGTGAATTCTAATGTTCTTCCTCCCTTTGAAAGTGAAAGGAGAAAGCAGTCCGTGGTAACCCAGTAAAATAACGTAAATGACCTCTCCTGTGACAAAATTCAGTTGTCCTAGCTATAGTGGTACTCAAAAAGATTTACGGAAAAACAAAAGGATTGTACTGTAATAACTATAGATTAAAAGATGGTAGGTTTTGTGGTCACACTTAGATTAGGAAGGGGGATAATCAGGTTGAGCTCCCAGATTTCCTATAAGCTTGGACTCTACATGAGAAATCTGACTTTAAAAATTACCATTTAATGGAAGCTTTCCTATTTCAATGTAAACGATTTATTTTGCTGTACTCCTCGTCTGTTTTTATCCATCCTAAACACAATTAAAAATCACCAGCTGAAGAAATGTACAAGCAAGAAAGTACAGTCAGAGCTTAATTTGTCTTATTTCACAGTTCAGGTTAAAAAACTGAAAACTTTCAGCTCTGTGTGGCCTTAAGTAGTAAGTTATTATTTCTCTCGGTCACCTTACAAATAAATCAGCAGTAACAGTTCTTTACTGCTTAACTCTCCATTAGATCAGTAAATATGCTGCCATATGGAATCACCTATAAATGCAATGACTTTCCCAAACCTGTTTGGAGCACGCTGGCTCCAGTATCACTGAAAATAATTACTTATTTTGCTAAACTTTGTTTTAAATGTTAGAACAGAAGGAAGCATAAATTTTGCCCATAAAATCTACAGTGCTTTTTATCTCAACTGATTTAATTTTGTCCCCAAACCATCAAACAAGTTCATTTACATTCAGCATGTGCTACGGGGACTTTTCATTTATTCTAAAATTAGACATTGATACGCTTTAAGCAAAAATTCAAATCTACAAACAACAAAAGGATTGTTTAAGTAAAAGTTCTTTTCTAGTATTCTGTTCCGAGACTGATTTACAACACTTTCCTCACAGTCAAATCTCTTCCTCTTAGTAAGCATATGAAGTGTCAGAGAAGCGTTAAAAATATTTGCTACAAAAACTAGTACACAGAGGCCTTGAAAATAAGACAGAGCTTGAGTTATGTTGTGGTGTAAGTTTGAATGTAACAATCAGAACAAGATTCCTATTATCTTTTGCTGTAAGGGAAACACATTTTTTGTTATGGCTATACTGTGTGACTTGCCTTTGGGCAAGAGTTTTTAAACAGTGGTTATTAAAATCATTACTTCATTTTCTGAAATTCAACTCAGCTTTGGAAAATATTTGTTTTTCAAGTAATAACAGGCTCTTCATGAAAACTAGAATTTTGTGAACTTTAATCAGCTATCTTAACATGACCTATATTCTGAAGAGTATGCAAACAATGTAAACAAAATTAGTAAAGAGCAAACAGCAAGTAAAAGCTGCATTAACTTTTTTTTTTTTTAAAGTGCTACATAAAATAACCCAAATTAATAATAAATTTTAAAATAAATAAAATTTATTACCTCATCTTTTCAGAGCCAACAGTTTTGGTGTTTAGCTTTCCTTTGTTTTGATGACTTTGGCCTGTAATGAGAAAAAGTATTTCACACAAAATGACCATCACCTAAAACAAAGGAAAAAAAAATGCACTCAGAACTTATATTTTGCTTTATAAATAATAGATTGGAAACATTTACAATATCAAAAACCAACATAACTAAGAAGTTTTGCAAAAAGCCACCTCTGAGTGTTACAGCAGGACTTTTATATTATTTTTATTAAATAATAATTAATCCTAAAAAGGGGAAAAGATACTTCAAATAAATAGAAGAATCTTAAAATCCTGTAAGATATGATCTGACTCTACAATATTGTACCAGCTATTAAAGTGGACTCCAAGTTAAAGAAATCAGTATATTATAGAAAACCACAGTTGTTACTATTCACCATTAGTTGATAACTGGAATTTTTATAGGGAATAACAGATCACTATTGGCTGTTGAAGATTAACTACAGAATTTTACAAAGTCTCGTACTTCAAAAATACATTGCTAAAGGAGTTAAGTTCAACCCATATTAATCTTAGAAATGTAAACGTATGAGTCAGATCAAGATAAACGTCCCTGATTACAACATAAAAATGTTTGACGATGTGGAAATACAGGATCACAAAGACAAGGAAGAAATCTATCATGTGATACCAAATAATTTCTAACTCTGAAACTTAATGTCAAAGACTTAACACAAAACTTTACTAAATATACTTTGCGACTTCAGAGACCTAACACTGTTGTTGATTAGTTACAGGGCTCTACAAGCTGAGTAAACAATTCATTAGTAACAAGGGAGAAGAAAACATGTTTTAACACTTCATTGTAATTGGCCCAAACCAGGAAGCCATGCCATTAACTGCAAAATAATCTCTCAACTGTTTTCCGTGGAACTAAAACATAACATTAGACATCTGAATGTGCATGTGCATACTCACGATTAACTCACCAAGTTTTTAATTTTCAAGAATTTTAAGTTAGAATTTACAAGGCATTGATGAGCAACAGTGACAAAACCCACTTATGGGAGAGCTGCCTTCTAGTAACTGTATGATTAGACAAGCCTGAAAAAAAAATTGTATTTCTGGACTACTAAGGAACCAAGAAGCGGCTGATGAATTCAGCTGCAGAACTGCTGAGCATCACACATGTTGCAGGTGTTCCTTATCACACACAGTAAGTTGAAGGGGTGCAGAATGGCAGATTATTTTTTGCTAGCTACATCTAATGGGTTTTACAAGGCATATTGGAATGCCACCTTCTGCCTCAGCTACCTGTTCCAAGAGGGGATAGTTCTAGCCATAATATTCCAGAAGCAGTTTCACTGGCACATCCAAATGCCAGTTCTGGGTTTTGCTATTCACTGTGGCTCTCCCTCCCAGTCCTAATGCAGCTGTGAACCAGCCAAACACGGTGGCCTTGAGCTCCAGCAGCAACTAATAACACCAGTACTTTTATCAATGTTCTTCTCATAACAAGTCTGAACTGAAACACTGAAACCAAAACACCGCTATTTAACTACTAAAAAGAAAATTAACTCCATCCTAGCAAAACCAGGACAAAGGCGACTGTGTTTTCCTAATATTGGACGCAATCACACAGACAACACACAGCACCTGCATGCAAGCTACTCGAGCACTGGAACCCAAGCGTAAGGTACAGCTACCCAAATCATTAAATATTGCTTGATTTATTATTATGCTTATGCTAAACCATGATAAAATAAAATTTGACAGAGTTATATAAAAGTTTCTGTAACTAAGCTTAAAGTTTATTTCATGATGCTCAGTATTTCATGTGATTAGATACAAAATACTGAAAAAGGCACTTGATTGTGGAAAAATACAAATCTGCTCACTTGAATAATCTCACTCAAGCCAGTGGGATGTCTCATGTATTCATGTCTCAAGTCAAGTTGTAAGCATACGCACTTCATGCCACAAGTAATTTTTCATTAACAACTACTTAATGACATAAAATTTAAATTAATCAGAACAAAAATACAAGCATCATGAAGACTGAAAACATTCAGAATTATTTCATGAACCATTTATCGAAATTGTCACACAGTAGCCTGAACAGGTGTCTGCTGAAAGACTTCATAAACTTTCAAACTCTAAAGCTACACTAACAATCATCACAAATTCCTCATAACAGAGGCATTTAAATGATGGAAAACAATAATCTTTTTTCAAGCGTATAATCACTGAATCATGTAGATATAGAAATATATTACTTTTTCTTCATTATTTAAGTTCCTTTCTCTTAAGGAATTGATACATCATTCAAAACAAAATCTTAATGAAGATAAAGGAATACAAGCCTTCCCTCTCACCATCAAAAGAAAAAAATAATCATCATCATTTTTTCATTAAATGAATCTAATTTTAAAAGCCATTCAACAAAAATAATTTCAGAAAAATTTCCTGCAAAAATACTACTGTCATATACCACCCAACTTAAAAAGATACTACTTTCAGATTTAAAAAAAATACTTTTAAATAAAAGTAACAAGCAAATCCTGCTAATTAAAATACTTAAGGGGATATATTAATTTAACAGCAAACATGATTGACTTACCCCACAAACATTTAAAAATATTAGTAGAAGTAGTACTGCTTTTGCTAGACATTCCCATTAGGAGCAAACAAAGATATTTAACAGAAATGTACACATGCTCAAAAAAATAGTACACGCAGACAAAAACTAAAATTAAAAAGGATAGTAACTTTAAGATAAGATACAGTGGCATAAAGTTCCTTTACATTAAATCTCCCGCAACTCTTAAGCCTTTAAGTGAACAAAGGCTAAGAAAAAGAAAGCTGTTCTTCCCCACCCACAGTAAACTTGTAGCAGCTAGTCACTTGGAGCGTAACTCCTCCTTTCAAATCAAGGCCAAATCAAATATTTTCTTCTAAATCAGTACTGACACAATAAGTATGAGGGGGGGAGGAGGAGGAATGAAGAACAGAAAAAAAAGGCATGTAATCAGCACGTTTGTTTGGGTTTTTTTTAATTACTACGCTCAATGCATCATTTCATAGCCCTGTGATCTCTAAATTTATAGTAGAATAATTTTCATTTCTCTCTCAGCATTCATCCTTTCATGATCCCTCTTCCCTCCTCAACCTCTCAAAATCAGCTATCCTCCTGACACCCTGCCCCTTCACCAGTATCAGCAGTGTAGCCAGACTGCAGACACCCTGCCCTTGGCCAGTATCCGCAGCACAGACAGACTGCTGACACCCTGCCCCCTGAGCACCACGGGCAGCAGCCCACTGCCCACCTTATCCATGTCAAGCACAGCTCTCTCAGATCCCACTACTGCTGGTGGAGCCAAGGGGCAGCACAACTCTCACATTCAGAAGGCATTTGCATGATTTAGCCTTGCTGCTGGGTGACCTGCACACCAAACATCCCCGTCAGTCGGCTGGAGCCGGGGCAGGACTATAACCCTGTGCGTGCTGTCGGGGACCGGGCGGGCTGCCATGCGGGTGCGTTGTTGCCGACCTTTCCCACTGCCTCCAGAAAGCTTTGTTTTCTAACGTGTCGTCAGACTCTGTTACTATTCAGACCACACCTTCTCGCTCAGGAAAACGCCTGGATTCACTTAGTTGTCACTTTGTTCAAACTCACTGAAAATTCCCTATGGCCTCTGTGCATCTCATATTTGCTCCTTCACACCATCTGCATATAGTTCCTCAAAACTGATTTGTCTTCCAGAGCTTGACTTCCCCTAAAACCCCTCCCTGATTTATGCTTTCTGCAATAAGTTCCTTCAACACTTTATAGCTCCTTCTTCTCTTTTTTATTATCCTATCACATAACATCTTTTCAACAAATTCATCTTGACTCTTCTTTTGCAACCTTTCCCACATTTTCCATTTCCCAGTACATCCTTTAGTTCTTCAAGGTGTTCACATATGTCTGAAGTCCATCAGAACAAGATCATTTCTCCTCCTGCTAATTTTAAAATAATATTTTGTAATATATCTTCAGTCACTTCCTCAAAATTGAAATTTTTGAAGTGTTCTGCACTTTGGCACCTATTCAGCTAATTATTTAAGCATGTGAAGTCTAAAGAACAGTATGGCTGGGCACCAAGGACTTCAGACTGTTGCATGGTCAGGACTAGAAGGACCCCAGTGCCTTGGAGGTCACTTTAGAATACAGCATGAGCATGCAGCTGGTCCAGATCCAGTAGCAGTATTCCATAAAAACACTTTATAAATAAATATAAGATTTATAAATAAAAACAATTTATGAAATCTCTTTTGCTTTCTCAGTTACAGCAGGTTTAGCAGGTGGTAGGAAAAGCAAGCAAAATTCAGGAAAGTACTTCATTTTGAAGATCAGAATTGTTTGCACTTCACTTTCACCACAGGAAAGTTAACTCTGGCACTGCAGGAGTTTTGTGGGATGGAAGTTCCCTCTAAAAAGGGTTGGGTTTTTTTATTATCATTGTTCATTAAAAAACCTCCCAAACAGTGAACAATAAATCACACCAACTTACACCTCTTAAAAGTTTGTAGCTAAAAGATCCACTCTGACAAATATTTTGTGGCCTCCTTCCTCTCTAACTGCAAGATAATTTTTTTAAAGGATCTATATGGAGCTTTTAGTAATCACAAATGAAATATGAGTATTGAAACTACCCACACACTTGTCTTGAATTTATACCCTTTTAGATCCTATACCTGTCTCAAAAGTAAGGAGAGCATTTCTAGTCTGTGTCTCAGTATTCTACTTTTTAATTCCAGTTTCTGAATTCATCCACGTAAAGTAGATTCCAACTACAAAAGCACAAAGGAAATAAGACAGAAATACAGAAGAGAAGAAGTATCTAGGTAACTGCACACTAACAGGAAAAGACGTGAAACATGATAGCTTACTGTTGTGAAAATAACACTAGATACACTTTTGCTTATTAAAAACAGCACGGGAAGAACGAACTTGGACATGATAAATAGTAAAAACAAACTCACCAGGCAGAATCTTCAGAGACCCACCTCCACTTTCTGTTCTTTGAATGTCAGTCACCTAACGACAAATACATTAGTCTGGTTTTACACAGATAACAAAAACCAAATAGGTATTACTCACTAAATTTAAACAAAGAAAAAAAACTAAAACCCTAAAATTTAAACAAACAAATAAATCACAATGATAATATAGTATATCATGTACTCAACTGAGAGGTAAAGAAAAATCATTTAATTAATCAAAACATAAGTACACTTATACTTGTTTTCTCCCAAAATTCATGTCACTTTACATTATCTACTAGTCTGACAAATACTAGCCTTTTTTGTAGTAATATTCATGCTAAAGGAAGATAAATTTACATAGATCTACATTATGAAGATTTTTGCAGCATAAGAGCAGACGAAAGTTTTCTTAAGAGAGTCAAAACTCTTTAAGCGCTTGTGCGTTCTATAGATCACTTGCTTTTTCAACAAGTTCTTTCATTTCCTTCCCTTTGCCCTTGTACGTTGGTTTCGTTTTCCCCATTAACCAGTCATCTTTTTTTGCTGCCCCGCCCTCCTGTGAAACTGAAAGTTTTTTCACATGTGCATGCTAAATTGTTTTGACCCTGCTAGTAGATTCACATTATTTATCATTGTTTTCTATACTATATAGCTTATTTATAAACACACTTTATAGGCTTAATTATAACAAACAATTTATTAGTTAGTTTACAATCACGATGATAAAGATGAATCAGGAAGAGGTACAAATGTTTCTTTTAAATTAATAATTAGTGTGAAAGAGAACTGTCTGTAAGCAAACCAGAGGTTGATTATCGATTTTTAATTTTGTGCTGTTATAGCAGGACACAGCCTGTGTCACAGTCTGCATGTTTCTCGCAAAGCAAACCGCTGTCAGGAATATTTACACAGGAATGGTTTACAGGCTCTCCATGATACTGGACATGAGATAGGCACTAAGACAGTGACAGCTGGGAAATTCCACTAAACATCCACCTAAAATAATGTAAGCACCAACAAAATCCCCCAACTTTCCACTCTTTTTTAGGTGTCTGTTTGTTTCTTAAGGAATAAAAACCACATGTACTGGTTCTGGCTGGGATAAAGTTGTCCTCGTAGCAGCTCATATGGTGCTGTGTTTTGGATTTGTGATTAAAACAGTGTTGATAACACAGGGATATTTTCATTATTGCTGAGTAATGCTTGCACAGCATCAAGGCCTTTTCCGTTTCACACACCACACCGCCAGCAAGGAGGCTGGGAGTGCACAAGCTGGGAGGGGACACAGCAAGAACAGCTGACCCCAGCTGACCAAAGGGATGTTCCACACCATATGAAGTCATGCACATCAATAAAAGCTAGCAGGAAAAGGAGAAAGGGGGAAAGTTCTGAGTTATGACATCTGTCTTCCCAAGCAACCATTATGCATGCTGAAGATCTGCTCTCCTGGAAACAGCTAAGCATTGGTTGGGAAGCAGCAAATGAATTCCTTGTCTTGGTTTGCTTGTATGTGCAACTTTTGCTTTGCCTGTTAAATGGTGTTTATCTCAACCCACGAGTTTTCTCACTTTTACCTTGTGGAAAAGGACACAACAAGGGACAGGTTGACATGGTCAGCTTTGATGTATATGGGCTTGGAAACCAGAACACTGACCATGCGATTAACAGATAAACAGTAGATGGTTCTTCCAAAACTTGGCCAAGGAACAAAGGAAGTTGTGGGTACAACGAGTCTCACGCTTACCTTTCCCACTGCACGTAGTGTGACTACGAGTCAATCTCTGTATTCCATAAACACAACAGCTTGAGTCACTTTGCCCTCTCCCTCCTAAGTATCTGGGAGTACGGCAGTGATCTCCCCTGGAGTTGGGACATCTCCCAAGGTTACTCCTCGAGGTTGAGAGACCCCTTACCAACTGCAGATCCTCAGTAAATGACCGATATTGCACATAATCTCGTATCAGAGGGCATTAAGAACTTGCACTGGTAACTTTGAACCATTATTATATCCTCTGTGCAGTAGAGCAATAAATTGAACCTTGCCACTGGACTCTGTTTAGCCTCACTTTTATAACATCCTATTCAATAAAATCACTTTTGCTGCTACCTTTGGCAGCAGTTCTTTAAGCAGCCTAACTCTCCCTCACAAAAGCTTCATTTTCTCTTTTAAGCCTTCCTCACAAAAATGGTAAAAAAATTATCTAATAGAATATTTGTGCTTGTAAACAGTCTTTTCAATTGCAAGAATGAATCTAAAGAATTACAAAGGGCTACTAAAATAAAACAAGTCCATCTTACGTTTTAGCACTATACTACTTTTGTTTTAAACACACAAGCCAGATACTTGAGAACCACAAAACCCTAGTTTTAAATACAATCCAGTTAAACATACTATTTAACCAACATTTTTCCCATAGGAAAGAAATCTGTTTGCAGACCATGAAAGTAACAAATACCTTAACACGAAAGTACCAGTGCAAAATGACGCCCCAGTATACCAAAAGCCCTTTATATGAAATAACTTTAGCTAAAGCATCTTCCACTTAAGTTCATTACACCAGTACATGTTAATTGAATCCTCTCCCAAAGCTGAAGGGAAGCCCACATTTGAATGCACACTGACAGGCATGACTGGACAGTCGATTAAATCAGACATGACTTCAGTCTCACTTTCAATAACCCCAAAGAGACCCCTCTTCTCCCTGTAACACACAGCCTCCACCTCCTCATTCAAGCAATCACCTCCCACCTTCTTTCAAATCCAAAGTTCTAAACATAGACTAGGTAGTTAAATATTACAGGAAAAGTGCACTTGGCTGAGAAAGCGCACAATTACTAAAACACAGTGGCTGCAAAATTTCAGTCACACCATTAAATAACATATTCCAAGATGATGGAAATCAACACACTGTTAGTCTTGTAATTCCAGCTGTAGCATAACTTACCCTGGCATCATGTTTTTGATGAGAAAGATGATCTTTAGGATCAGATCGTGTTCTCCTTCTGTCTTTTTCTATCTCTTTTTGTTCTTGAGACATTATTAAATGAGATTCTGAAGAACTGCAGTCTCTGATATGTAAAAAGAGAGAATCCTAGTTCGTCCAATGTTGATGTCTTCTCCATATTTAAGACACATACCATACATGCACCATGACAAAACAAAGTTGAATACAAGAAGTCTAGCTCTCAGAGTGCAATGGTGTAAGCATATTTAAAGCATTTGATCAAACAGCAACTTTTATACCTTCAAGTTGCACAGTCCAAGGCTATGCAAAAATATAACAACAACAGAAACCACTGTTATCTGTAAAAGGGACAGGAATTGAATTACTGCACATTTATTTGTTAAAAACAAATAAATAATACCGGTAATTAATAAAAAAAAACCCCAAACCAAAACATGGCCTTAGGTGAGACTTATTTGTGCAACACAGAAGGGAATTAAGTTCCTCCAGAATTTTCAGGTTTACAAAAATCTGTTCAGTATTCTACTTACTGTACTGTTTCTGAATGACAGATAGCACATCACTACAAGTAGACCAATAAAAGTCAAAAAGATCTTTCAGAAAAATATTTACTACGAAAGTTACAGCATATATTGTAACTTAGCTGAATCTGTGAATCTCTCTTACCCTATCTGGGCAAGGCAAAAACATAGAATAGCTGTGGCAAACCCAAGTACCTATAAATGAGGATAGACATTCGTTTTTACCATTTCCAAAATGCATTTGCTAGCATTCAGCTCCTCAAACCAGATTAATCTCCCACCAAACTTAATATAGCGAAGTGAACACAAAAAAAGTGGGTGTGACTGCCCCGACATTTTCAGGCACCAAATTTCCTCAACAGCAAACTACTTCAAGTTGGAAGGACAAAAAATATGAAAATGTAACTGCTTCCCGTTATTTCCAACACAGGTAAAATTTAATGCTGAAGGAAACTGCTTGGAAGTAGAACCCATCTCAAGACAGCTTATTTAGTTCCTAAGACTTTTAGTTAGTTTAGTTTAGTTAGTTTTAATCATAGAATGGTTTGGGTTGGAA